AAAAAAAATCTCATGTTCAAACACATACACGAGTATTTTAATAGAAAATCTGCTGAATGGACCATTATTGAATTTTTAAATGAATGCGAAGAGGGAACATTTAGAAAGAAAATAGATTCGTATCTTAAGTCACTTCAAAACATTGTTGACTTAGACCCTGAAAGAAAAAGGAAAGAAAGGGCGCGCGAACTTCTTGACGCGTACAAGGAGGCAAGTAAAGAATTTTTGTTGAAATGTAAATAGGAAATAAGTGGCGTGGCCGGAATTCTTCTCGCTTCTTGCTATTCAAAACTTTTCGTTGAGCCACAAAACCGGTGCTAGGGCACAGGGGATTCTTCTCGCTCACCTGTGTTCAAGACTTTTTGCCGACCTGGCATTGGTCCTATTGGGGCACAGGGGACTCTTCTCGCTCGCCTGTGTTCAAGTCTTTTCGCCGACCTGATGGGATGAAAACTAAATAGAAATTTTAGACATACCAATTGAGAATATTACTAATTCAAATCTTTTATGTTAGAGACCCTATCATGATTATCATGTAGCACGAGAATGGGAGAAGGAGCATAAATCTGTCAGTGGACCTTCAATCCACTTCCACCAAATTACAGATAGTTCGGTAGTTGGGATCAATAGTGGATCTCTCTACGTTAATAGATCAAAAAGAAACCACGAAGAGGTATATACATTACTTGCATTTTTTAGTCATAAGTTGGGAATCAGCAGAACTAATTATTTTGTATTTCAATACTTTAGGATGATTTTAAAAACCCGATCGAGCAAATTACAAAAAAAGAACGTCAAACTAAGAGCGGAAGGAAAATTCCGGACTATCGTGAACTAACCTCCGGTTCATCTGAAGGAGATGATAATGTAAGTTCGTGTTATTTCCAATATTATTTTTCATTAACTGACCTTATATTTATGTAGAATTTGATTGACAATTTCTTTCAGGCAAGTTTCGATTATGAACAGCCGATCATTGAAGAAAAAACATCAGCAATCCATTCAACAAAAAGGGTGGGGCTGAGTGGCTCTTTATATATTATTAATTTCTTCAAGCAACAAATAACTTATTGACATTTTTTTCTTTTCTGCCTTATGATTTAGGTCAAATCAAGTGGTCAAACTGAATCCGAAAAATATCAAGTTCTTGATGATCCCGAAACCTTCTTTAATGAAGATTACACTGATGATGAGTTTAATACTTCACCCATTGAGGCTGATTTGAAGAAATTCAAAGAAACTTACTTAACCATGGACCCTGATTATATGTGGACACTGAAAACTGGTCGCAAAGTGGAAACAGTCATTTATGAATTTGCTAAAAGCTTACACAGAGAGTCATATCTTCATTCTTTTATAATCAATGATGCCGATGTCGAAACAAAATCATTATTTTCACCCGAAGAATGGAAAGAAATTAAAAATCTCGAAGTTATAGATAGACCGAAACTTGACCCTTGTCACAAGGAGTTGTTAAGAAAATACACTGTTAATGATATTAAAAAATTAAGATCACTTCTTTTTGAATTATTTATACCTGATGGTAAAGAATATAATCGGAATATTCACTTCTGTCTTGATTATATAAATAATGCATATCGTGGAATTTTACGTTTATGGGAAATGGATGAAAATCCTTTTGACTCCTTAAAGCTAGAAGGATGGTTCGAAATGAACGTCTGGGGCCGACTTATAGATCCTGCATTCGATAATTTAAATATTGACTTAATTCGTGGAGAAGGAATGAGCTTCGCTTCTAGTGAAAGAAAGAACATTCAAAGAAAAATTAATGATCACAAAAAATTTGGCAGAAAAGGTGATGGTGTATTTAGATTACACAAAGGTCGTTTAGAATTCGGTGCAATTGAAGCTGGCAGGAATTGGGAAGAGATAAATGGTACGAAATATATGTCTGATTCACTTAAAATGTCCAAGATGTTAAAGGATATGCTAGATAAATTAATTAGAGAATGTAAAATGAAAGAAAATCTAGTAAAAAAACTAAAAGTAATAGGAATACTCCACGGTGCAAACAGGTTGCAAGTCTTAACTATAGATCATCCTGAAGGATACATCACTCGAATTAATCGTAATAATGTTCAAGAAGTTGCCGGTAGATTAACAAACTCCAAACCACTTGCTCTGGTATTAAAAGAGGTTTTATATGCACGATCTATTATCATTGCAACAATGGATATAATTGATAAGAAAGATGATTTAAAGATCGAAACCTTTCTTGATGATAGTGATGATGGATATCACACACCCCCCACCAATATTACGACGAACACATTTACAACACCAAATAAATCACGTACAGTACAAAGGATATGATTAATGAGATAAAAAATAGTGTTAAAATAACAATACCACGTTATGATCAGCAATTATTTTGATTTCGATTTCAATTTAAATAGTATGAATGAAAATTTTTTAATACTTAATGCGTAATAAAGGCTAATAATGTTTCGTCAACTCGTTATGCCTAGCTTTATTTTTGTAAATAATTGGGTGGCAAAATGATAAGTACCATAGAGTGACCTCGGTTTGCAAATAACTTAATGACTCATGATCCGCAAATTATTATCTGATCACATAGCAATCACGAGTTAAGCATTACTATGCAAAATTCGCGTGCTATGGTTAAGTTATCCTCAGGGTTTTTATTATTATTCGATATTACTCTGCAATAGATATGGTATAATTATGATCGTGACATTTTGTCATGGTTTTTATCTATTTTAATGAATGAATTTGAATAATTCGTATTTTTGATATAAAAAAGAAACAGACCTATAAATATTTTAGCCATGCTAGCTTATTCAACCCAAATAGTAATTGTAAAAGCATAGATTAATAAGGAAACTAGGTATGACTTTATTATCTCTACTAATTAATAATCACAAATTGCATTGCAAAAATCATGTTAAAATAAAAAATTAGGAGCTCAGCGGACCCCCCCTCTTTATTTTATAAAAATTGTTGCCGAACAACAATATAACATACAAATAAAAAATAAATAATAAATTTTTTTCTGATTATACATTAAAGATCATAATCATCCTGATCACTGCAATCGGCATCACCAGTTGAATACCACATATAACTATCAAGAGAATGATCAACCTTATCTCTATATCTGTAATAATGCAAAATTGGCTTATCAGAGATATGATCTATTTTGAATAGAAAAGAAAACTAAGTCCCTGGTGATTGTATTTACACAATGTAAACTTTACTTACAAGATCTGAGACTATACGACCTAGATACATAACCTACTGGGATAACAACCCTGGAGGTGTTAGAATCATTAGTCGTGGGACATTGCTATCATTGGTCTTGGGGGTGTTACTATTATTAGTCCTGAGGTGGTAACATTGGTTATAGCGGTGGTGTTATTGGTAGTCTTGGAGGTGGTGGTGACATTGGTTATGGCAGTGGTGCTATCATTAGTCTTGGGGGTAGTAGTATCATTAGTATTGGAGGTGGTGTTATCGTTAGTGCTCATTTTTCATACCTAAATACAAAAAACAAAGTAAGCAAAAATTCGTTTTCATAGTCTTCGTTAAATGAAATAGCAAATTACTTAAAAAATAAATTACGGGCAAGTGGACAAGTAAATATATATATGAGCAAAAAATAACGCTATTGCTGACTTATCTTACGAGTGGAAACACGCTTATTTTTATACTTCATATTCGTCAGATCTAGAGAACCTGTTAGAAGGAAAGTTACATGATTAGTAATTGTGATAGGGTAATGCAATCTAGATTTCACTATGTAAAGCAAGTCTACTCGGTTATAAGTTCCAAATGCTGAATCTATTTTGCTATTTTTTAGTTAAAATATGACCCCCTAGATTTGCTAATCATTTTAGAGTAGGCTAGATCTCAGAGATGGCGAAGAGTCGAGGTCCTGTAACATATAAATTTGGATAAAACCACTGATAAAGAGCGTCATACTCATTACCCTTATAGCCTTTTTAAGTTTCATTCGCGTCTTTTCTTATCGTGAGATTGCGTATTATAATAAAGGATTTTATATATTTGTAATATTGCTTGACTGTTGATAAAAAATCGACTGTGAGAAATGATTCTGCAGGAGAGTGTCACAAAACCTTATATCTAATTTTGTGCGACTTATTACTGTAACTTACGCTAATATTAATATAAATTTTTTTACAACTTGTTGAAGTACTGTTTAGAATAAACGAAATATAGTTTATTGGATTTCGAATATTCAGTCTCAAAATCATGATCGAACTTGTGTTATACGTACCTGTTGTATTAAAATAAAGCATATATATTTGCAGATATCAGTGTATTACTGTATTGCTTATCATTATTCAAATTAACTGATACCATAAGCAGTACTTCCAGATCCTCGATTCGATTTATAGCAATATAGCTTATTCAAAGTTGAAGATCATAACCCCCAAATAATACGCTATTAATTAAATCCATATTTATGCTTATTCTTTTTGTAGTCAAACCTATCTACGACCTCAATCAAATGTGTACTATCCATTACACTTATTTTAAATTTGTTTGTCATACAGCACTACATATGGTGAATATTAAAGTAGCCAAATGCACCTCTTAACAAGTTATCGAACAATGTACGATAATTTCAAATTTAGAAAACGTGCAATTGTTGATTAAATTGCCGTGTCCAATAATTGTGGTGCCGAATTTGGTAAACACACAATTGTTTGTTAGAAAATTACCATGTCTATTATAATGTCAAATAAAGCAACGTGCTAACCATTGTTTTGACGAATTACTATTTTTTAGAAAGTGCACTCTGTAATAAATCATCAAGTTATGTTTTACAACGTGATAAAAAAATATTTGGCAAATTTATAAATTAACACGCATTGGAATAACTATATCTTTAGTTATAATTGTATTTTCTAATAAAAGGGTGCCTCTCACATAGATGCTTATAATTTATTTGACATTTTTTTTATACTTCGTTATATGTTGTTATATTCACTATATATTTTTACCTATTAGTAATCTAAAATTCAAAAACAATGCAACCATCTATCGAGAAGCGTAAAAATAAAAATGAAGTTTCTAACATTATTAACATGTCTCAAGAGAAACTAGTCAAAAAGTTGTCATGTCATGCTCGCTATAATAAAAAACAAAAGCTTGAGAAAGAACAAAATTCGGCCTTGTTGACGGATTATAATGTGTCAAGACCTATTTTACCGTTGATAACTAACGATATTATTTTTGATCCAAATCGGATATATATCATTTTTGTCTTAGATTCCGGTTTTACTCTCATGCCTGGGTTATTTTTGTATTGATTAGTCATTCGTCCAAGTTACTTGCTACGAGTATACTTAAGCTATGCAAAAAATTGTTGTTCTGCAACTAGAGCCTCTGACTTCTGTATGTTATGTGTTCGAAAGGGCATAATCATCATTTTGATAGCTCAGTACTTTGGCTTGGGTGGTTTGTTCAGTCCGCAAAAAATATACAACCTAGTGCAGGTTTATATAATTATTCATATCGGTAATTGCATCAGATATCTAATTTTATTTTCTATTATATTAGCACCGGACCCAATATGCGACTCAAAGATTGTGTACGCGTGATAAAATTTATTATATTGAAAATGAATGGAGGAGTGTCCCTCTTTGTCCGTCGGATCGTATATCATCGGAGGTGTCAAAATTTGTGAAGAAATTTCAGCCAAAGATCTTTTAATCGATATGCTAATTCAAGAGGCAAGATTGGTTAATATTGAGTTATCTGATGTCCCGCCTAATTTCCTTCTGTTGGTTGATAAAGAAATAATTAAAATGGGAGAGCGTGGTAATGCTAATCTCCATCCTGATGATGCAAAAAATAAATGTTTATGGGTCGTTCTTGGTCGCTGGTTGGGGATGGAAGAACTAGTTATAAGAAGAGATGTGCGTCGTCACCTTCAGTCTAAATAGATAGATCTTAAATATTCTGTTGATTTTCAAAATAATAAATCATAGGACATTTTAAGAACCAACTCATATATTTCTCGAAAAGAGAAAGCCCATTTAATAATATCTGCCCAGGGTAATCTCCGTTCATTAAAAAAATTAATAAAGCTTTGCCATTTAATTATTTCAGAATGTGTTATAGATGTAGAAGGTAGAACCTTAGTACACTTGGCATTACTAAATAATCCAAGGGCAGTTATGCAAGCAACGGATGCTGTAAACTATTATTATTTCCATACCCTAAATAACCCTTCCCACCATAGTGATGAATTCTGGAAAATTTCATAGAACATTTTGGTGCATATATACGAAATAACCTCCTCCCATTTACTAGTTCAAATACCGCAAGCTCCTATAATATTGCGCATCAAGAATGCGTTAACATTTTACTTTGCAATCTTGACTCACTATCAACTTCTATTAATGAATTTATGTGAGAATTTTATAGGAGTTTATATGAAAAACTGGAAAAGTTGGTGTGGGGGCTTTTTGTACCTCGACCTTTTGGAATCTTTCTAATGATAACTATTAATTACAATACAACTAGCGATTACTATTGGGACAAGCATGACGAACCAAATAGTTTATGCTATTTGGTTGCCCTTGGAGAATTTAAGAAAGGAGAATTATGTTTTCCTCAACTCCAAATCGTTATACCACTTCGGCCTGGTCAAGTTGTGGTATTTTCTTCGCGCCTTCTACTTCATGATAATTTCTCTCTTACAAAAGGTATTCGTCATAGTATTGTATACTTTGTACATGATACCTTTTTTCATAACCTACGAAAGTTTACTGACATACATGATGATTTGAAGGCCAATATTAAAAGAAATGCTAGTGGGCATATTGTTTCACTTATTGAACAACAAATCTTAATAATGCCCAAGGATTGAATATCTGAACTAGCTCTCTAAATTAAAAAAGAGACAAATAACAATTCCTCCTTCATCGTCAAATTGTAGAAGAGGTCATATTTCTTTGGTACATGCTAGGCATGGGTTGAGGGCAGAAGATCCGCTTCCAGATTTATAAGTAATTGGTAGAAATATAATATATTTTTATTGTATTATGTATAAGTATATAATGTACATTTAAAAAAATAAATAAATAAATTCTTGTCTCCTTCAAACATGTGGTTTTTACATTATTCTGCTAATATGAGTTTACAATTCTTACTACAACCAAATATGCATTTCTCCCATTCTCATTATATACATCACTTGCAAAATATGACGAATATACACAACTCATCTAATAACCCAATCCACACAAAAAATGAATTTGGTTTTAATTGTATATATCGTGCCAAATCCTATAGGTCTAATAATCTTAATATAATATTTATAACTGTCTAAACAGTATA